CGCGCGGCCCTGAGGCGACGCAGGGAGACGGCGCGCCCCTCTGTGGCGCCTGCGGGAATCTCTCGCTTTCAGGGGCTTCTCCCTGCTCAATAATGTCTCTTGACCCCTCTGTCAAGCTGACAGCTGCTTTTAGGGACCTTCCACACACCAGGAACACGCTGGTCTTCCCGATTTATCTTTTTTACCACTCATTTCATGAGCAGCTCTCACAGCCCATCCATCACTGTGCTTGATAATTACTTCCCAGTAGCGGCACTAGCTAGAGAAGCTCTGGGAACACATCACTTGGCTGATGCAGGATCTCTCGGGCAATGGCTCATAATTAGAGGGATAGCTGGAAACCATTACTTTCCTGCTCCGGGCTGTGACTACTAAGCGCTGAGATATCCCTGTACTTGCAAAAGGCAAGGAGAGAAGGGAAGGATGGTGAGGGGAGAACTGCCCTTGCTAGTAGTGGGCTTTTAGCTTAGCCTTAGTTGCTCTCAAGAATACTTTGAACAATATATTTAGAACAATATAGGCACCTGTTTTCTCTGAACTTTTTGCTTTACAGACTGATCTATTTGTTAGAATGACTCTCCTACAAATCTTGAGTGTGAGGTCAAAGCCGTGTCAAAATATTGCTAAATATTGGGGTCTCACAAGGAAGGTATTCAGTGAGGTGGAGGGGCCATATGCAGGAACCTTGATCAATTGGGTCAACTCCAGCAAAACAGGAGATTTCCAAAAACTCACCTGGTGGGAGCTGCCCAGGGTACTTCTCCCATCGTAACATTTACAATTGCTCCTTAACCTCTTCTACTTGTGGGGACATTAATCTTTCCTCACCAAGAGCAATTTTATCTGCTGTTAAGGGTGAGCCTTTGTACCCCTCTGCCTCAGGTAAACTACCCTAATAAGGACATGAAACAATCAAGGCAGGAGATGTAAACAACTGCAGTTACTCCATCAAGCATATCAGGTGGTACTGGAAGGCCAGTGTGGAAAACCAGCAGTGATCTCTAAGATATTCAATTGCCTGCACTCAGAATCTGTGTTGCACACCTGAGCCATCCTCTCAGTCTGCCTTTAGTCTGCACAAAGAAACAGGCAACTGAAGTTAATCTTTTGTGTATACAGATAAGTGTATAGTGCTGAAGTGAGGGTCAATAGTGAGATTTTGCTCATGCAGTCCATCAAAATTTGAGAGCTTCTTAAAGCTTTTCTTTTCTCTTTAAGCAGACATCTACATAACGAACCTGATCCATTTTGAGCCATTTGGCTAGATGGAGCTCTAGAACCATACAAATAATATTTTGGTTAGATAGTTCCGCTGCTAAGACTGGCAATAAATAACACTGCTTAAAGACATTTAGGAAGGAGGAGGGAAAGAACAGATGGTTCTCTGTCCTTCAGGTGCTCAGTGCTCGAGGTGAGCAATGCCACACACTGGCACTACAGGCCACTGCAGAGGCTCATCAGCTGCAGGACTGCCTGGACCTGCCGGGATCCAAGGAAGCTGCCGTGGCCCCTGGTTATTTCAGTTTTGATTCCTGCAGGTGTCTCCTGCTGCCTCCCCAGAGGCTCCTGTGTGCAGGAGCTGGGAGACAGCGATAGGATAGCAGAAACGGTGTGTTCCTTGCAAGAGCAAAGGGAGAGAGCAGAGGACACCCCAGAGCAGTGCCTCTTCTTGGACACTGGCTCTGCAGACAGGCTCCTGTCCCTGCACGGCTGGACCCCACAGCTGAGCTGGGACCACCAAGCAGGCAGGACGGAGCACAGATGGGCTGGGAGGCTCCCACAGAGCTCCAGGCCAGGACACGGCCCTTCCGAGCAGTCCCCTCTTTCGGAAGCTCTAGTCCAGGAATCGTTTTGACTTCAAAATGAATCATCATGCAGAGTACTCCGTGACCCAGCCTTGACTTCTACTGACTCTCCCTCAAAAGCTGTTGCATCTTCACTCTTTCATTTTCTCATGGACTTTCCTGATTTTGTAACAAGGTCACAGCAGAGCTGCTGACAGGACTGGCCTACTGACCCATCCCGGGTAGCAAACACCCCAGCTCAGCAAGACCAGCACAGGCCCATCCAGGAAGTTCAGCTACTGGCTGACCTGATCCCTACCAAGCATCGTCCCCCTATCACTCAGTTCATGCCAAAACAACAATTAACACATGCAAAACCAAAACAAGGTCGATACTGTTCTTCATACAAGTTCAGCAAGTGCTTTGCTATTGATTTTGGTGGCTGCTGGATTAGGCTGTTAACAAGATTTGCTGACCTGCCAGGAGTCGGAATAGAGGTTAGGTGGGGAGAATGGGAACACAGGTGAGCTTATGGGCACACGTAAGCACACAACACTCTTGCTGCAGATAGGGTTAGATAGGGATGAGCCAGCTGAAGATCCAGCTCAAACAAATTTTCTACACTATTGTGCACACACACAAAACCTCCACACTAATCCCTGCCCATATCAAACTTCCTCATTTCTGTAAAGAGGAGAACTATTCTGGGCATTCAGACGGACTGGCAAGCACCAGCAAGAGGTAACAGCCTCACCAGAAACTCAGCTTGCAAGACTTCCGCCTGATTTGCAAGCTAAGGCAGTATTAAAAGAGAAGAATCAAGTATCTGAATGTCTGCTTGGCAGAACCAAACCTCATACTCCAGCAAGTAAAAAATCAGTGCACTGTATCAGCCAGTGCCAATCTTCACCAATTCCTGCATGGGGTAGTTTGACTGATACCCGAGTCACTGCACTTTTCCAGTGCTGGCACTTGTTCACTGAGTATCTTCAAGCAGGACACTGAAGATAATACTTTTAGAAGCAGTTTCTGCCTTTCAGTGCCCAGATTAGACAAACTCATTACGAGAATCTAGAACCCAAAGCTTCAGCTGGACTTCTGGGAGGTAGGACAGACCAGCAGATCTTCCTCCTGTCTTGACTGGGCATCACTGTTCAGGGTTGCTTTGGGAAAAAACCTGTTCACGGCAGATTTGCCACTTACAAGAGCGAAATAGCAGAGACAGCCAAAACCAAGGAGCTAGGTGTATTCTGTCATCAGATTGATTATATTACAATATCCTCTACAATTCAAATATGACTTTTATTTTAATAATTTCTGTACCAGAAATATAACACTGTAGAAAACATTAAACCCATTGCAAACAAGCCTGTTGCTGTGTGGGGAGGAGCTGCAGGCAGGTGGAGCACACCTACCCAGCTTTACACGCGCTTAGTGTCGGCAGCAGTGCGCGGCACTGCTTGGTTCCGATCGTCCAGCGGATCCAGTACGGGTTGGCAGCTAGGCCTGTTGGACAGGACACCCTGCATCCTCTTGGTAGTGATCGCTTTGCCTCTTGTCACTGGCTTTATGTGTTCAAATAACAGATGCTCATGTTCACAAGCAGGATACGTGCCACAGGCCGGATTGTCAAATACATCCTATGGGATGTATAGGAGTCCTCTTCTGACCCCAGACCAAGGCCAGAAGGGAGGATCTGGTATAACAGCATCTACAGGGCTCAGTCTCTTCTAGGGTCAGAGTTTCTTGCTGACCTTGTTCCTTTTTCCATTAGACAGCACAGGCTGGTTGATCCTGCCTCAAGAGAAGAAGGCCTCCTCCTCTCAAAAACAAGGAAGGGAAGGGAGAAGACACTTCACGCGAGGTTCTACAGGGAACAGATCCTTTCTAAACATCTGTATCCCCCTCTTACTCATTGGTCTCCTCCCCTGTGCCCACAGCTGTTCAAGGAAGAAGTCCTTTGTGCAGGGCCTTGAGCACCATCCTTGCCAACAGAAAGAGACCACGGAGCAGTGCTGGAATTAACCCAAAAGTGCAGTTCACTGGAATTCTGTGTTCATCTTAGCCGGTCAAAGGCTGGGCAAGGACTCCATTCAAAGCATCTATCCACTCCCTCTGATCCTTGTCATTATCACACATAAACACAAACTCCCTCGTTGGTGTCACCACAGTGATCCCTGGTTTCCTCTTCTTCACCTGGACTCCCTGGGGAAAGCCCTCTCGCACTTCATATCCCTCATCTGTACTTCCAATATAAACACGGCCCTGTTCGAATGCATCCTAGAAAGAAGGAATCAAAAGACACCCATTAGCCCGCTGGCAGCGTGGCTCCAGCAGACACTGTTCTGTCCCTAGACATGGAACAGGAACGGGGGAGCCATGGAGGGGACGTTGCTCTGATGACAAGTCACAGGAAACACAACAGAGCTTTTTTACACAGATGTTCTCTAAAGCAAGAAGTAAGGACCTGCTCGTACAGAGCTGACGGGTGTTCAGGAGGAGCATGCGAGGATATTCCTGGGGTCAAATGTGTCAGAAGGCGTTAGGAAGCGTTCAGTGTTAGGAAGCACAGCACTGGGGCTCTCAAACCTGTTACTAGTCCTTGCCCACCTGCAACGAGCTGGGAGCGAGGGAGCTCTAAAAGCTCATGGCAGGTACAGTGATTTTTAAAAGACCTAGATCTTCCTCACAGATCCTGAGAGGACCAGAGTTCCCAAACTGCTGAGCTTCAAAGAGATCCAGGAACGAAGGAGCTGAAGAGCTCGGAAGCACCTGCCTCAGCTTGTGCAGCCGCCGGCAAGGAGCGCCAAGAGCACTGCCCACCCCGCGGAGGTGCTTGCAGAACAGCCAGGAACAGTCGTCTTTCTTACCAGCGGATTTTTAAGGTAAATCAGGATCCTCTCTTGAGAGTCCAGGCTGAACCAGCGCATCTTAAAGGCCTCCTTTTGCTGCAAGGAGATGGTAGAAGCTCTTTAAAGACCAAGACCCAAAGGGGATTCCGCCTATTGAGGGCAGATCTCTGGGCTTCTTCTCTGACCAGAAGCTTGAGTTCAGTTTCATTTTGGCCCAGTAAACAGTAATAGGTGACTGTGCAGTCCCCAACTCCCTTCTCCCTGGGTTCACACTAGAAATTTATATTCAGTGACAATCCTTTGGGCAAGGCAGGACAGTTTCATTCTACAAGTGACCAAACTATCAGGCTTCAGAAGCTGCAGCAAATGGCTTAGCTGAAAGCACTGCAGAGAACGATCCCCGGCCAGGTGGCTGTCATAAGGGAAACGTGCTGGCAACTTCAGTAATTCAGCTGGGGAAGTATTTTTAAAATTAAATTTTAAAATTCCGTCAGCTGTGCTCATCTGAATATGCCCTGATCTATTCATTTCTCTGAAGAATTAAGGACTCACTGCAGAATGAAAAACTGGAAAAAAAATAAAAACAAAAAAAGAAATAAGGAACCTAAACAAACCATCTCTGTAAGCATGCTCTGTGCCAGGACCAGCTGGAAAATCTCCTGAGACAACAGCACTAAATTTGGCCAAAAAAACAGCATAATCAATACCATCATGTTACTATTGAATTTTTTAACGGGACTTTGGCTCAGGGCTCATTCAGTGGAGAGCAAGACAAGAGGCAGCAATGTTCAAACAGGCTGTAGGTCTTTCTGGCCTTCTCCAAGCAGAACCTGAACTCTCCCTCTCCCATTCCAAGAAATAATGGCCAAATAACTCTCCCACCAAAAAAAAAAAAAAAAAAAAAAAAAAAGCTTCAGACTATAGACTGCACTGTGAAGTATTCATCCGCTTAATCACACTTCCCTGCTATAAACAGATGTGACTTCTGTACTACCAAGTTGAAGAGGGAAGTAGAGGGAGTCAGCATGTGATGTTCTATTCTAGAGAGCTGCCCCATTCTAGAGCTGCAGTTAACAGGCAAACAACACAGCAACCCTGCTGGTGTTGCATAACCCTACTTCGCATTTCCACCCTCACTTAATCCATCTTGCTTACTCTTCAAGGAGGACCCTCCTTTCCATCTTATTTTCCACACAAAATTAAACATAATTCCCAAGAGCATTATAGACTAGAATACAATCTCTTTTATCGACCCAGGAAGCAATTAGTCACTCAATAAATAATTTCCTAGTAATCACCAAAGCATTTTCAAATATTCCCCATCTGGAAAAATCCTGTTTGTTTAATGCCAAACAAGCAAGCTGAACATACCTTTGGTCCTGTTTTCTCCATATATCCTTCTTTGACATATTCTCTTGTAATCCTGGGTATGAGCTAGGAGAACACACACACACAAATGTCTGCCGTGTCATTCACCTCACTTTCCTGTTCTGTTTCTGTCAAGGCCAATCACCATCAATTTTAGCTTTTGGGGCCTGAGGTTTTTGACTGCTCAGTAAAGGGAAGTTTGAAATAAGAAGGAACATAATGTTTTTTTTTGTTTTGTTTTAAAGATTGTTTTTTAAAAGGATCACATGTAGACTTTATGGCCCAAATGTTGAGTTCCTTTTTTACAGGTTGTCTACAGGGCAGCCATTCCTTCCACCTCTTCTGTCTATTCCCTAGGCTCACTTAGTAATTTGGGCTATTTGCAGGCTGGCTGTTGTCTGGCTGCCCTTAGATGTTAATTCTACCTATCTGTCATCAAAGAAGAGGCCATAACAAGGATTGTGAAAGATATCAGAAGAAAAGAAAAAAAGTTCAGGCCTGCAGCTTGGAAACAAATAACCTTGGAGCTGTGACAAAGCATCTCTGTGTTTGCTTGAGAAACCGATATTCCTGCTAGGCAAGAGGATGATAAACCTAACCAGAGTAAGAGCAGACCCCAAAGTTAGAATTCTTGCTTCCTTGTGTTGGCCGTTAAAAGTCTTTCCTTCATTTCTGTCTCTAAGAGAAAAGAGTACCATAGAATATTTGCATTGGCACTAGTAGAGAAATTGAAAATTAGTGATTAGTGTCACTTTTCTTGTTACTGCAGTTTTGTGTGGTTAAACACAAATATATTCCGAAAACCAGCAAAGACTTAGCTTGTACATCCAAACTCTACTAGGAGGAGGGATAAACTTTGTTTTTTTTTTAAATGCAAAATTCACCTATATCTAGCTGCGCAGATACAAAGAGCTTCATATATATCAAATAACAGGGAATACAACAGCACAGCCTCCTAATAGAAATTATCAAAGTTAATATTACAGAATTATTGTCTCTAAAGCTGGTTCTCTGTGTGTTTCGCTTGCTACTGCTTCTACACATGTTTACCCGATGCCATCGCAGTCAGAACCAGCCGGCAGTTCTGTCCAAACCTGCACAGCTCCATACACTGCAAGGCTGCTGTCGCCAACTCACAGCCTTAGCCCCAGAGAAAACGTTTTCTCCTGCTGTGTTTGCACACACTGCTTTTGCCCCGCGTGGTTCTCACCTCGGCCTCAGGAACATCTGGAAAAGTCGTTCTCAGGTAATGGTAACGCGCTGCCCGAATGGCATTGAACCAGTCAACAATCTCCTAGGGGAGACAGCAGATGCAAACAAAAAGACAAGGATAACACAGCGGGTAAAAGTGCAGCTTCTCTGAAATGTCTTATGCCTTCCCGTGACTTTGCAAAGATACATTTATTCCCAAAGGGTCAGGGGGTCAGCGGCTCATTCCAGACATCTGAGAAACATTGAACCTCCAAAATACTTCTTAAATGTCCAGACTCTTTGACCTGTCCGTGTGGGGAGTCACCCTGTTCTGTGTACACAGCCTTTTTCGGCTTATTCAATTACAGATTGTTTAAAAAGTTTATCACATGAAAAGACCTGAGAACTATGGCAAAGGAAAGATCAGGAACCTAAAAAATCCTTTAGACCCTGCTTTTTAAAATTACCATGTTTTGGGTAGAAGTAATGCATAATAACAATACATTGAATTGTATTGTATATTGTATATACAAGCGTATTTTGTAATTGTATAGTGTATATGTGTCAAGAAGACTTCAAATAATATAATCATTAACAGTATAAAATTATTAAATGTGTATCTTACACAGACTTACATATGTGCCCCACTGAAACCTTAGGACTATTGGGTGTGTGAAGATTAATATACGCCCTCCGCAGAACAGGAGCAAGATAAGACCAACTAGAGCTACTAAAAATTTGTCATTTTTCTGAATTCTGCAGGTCTTAGCAATTTCAAATAAAATCAGACCCTGCAGGATCAGGATATTTTCCAAATTGCAGATCCAGCACCTAAGAATCTTTTTCATTCCAAAACCTCTCTGGTACTCACCTTTCCACTTTCATGATAGACGAAAAGGTTCCTTATTTGCCCATCTGTGTTGTAGGTGATCTGCAGCCCGTGAGCATGTTTCATTTTCTCTGTCTGGAACATCGCATTCAGAGTCTCAATGCTGATCACGGCTTTTGGGCTTTTACACTGTGAAATGAAAAGCACAGCGTTAAAGTGCTCTCAGGGCAGGTAGTGGAACACAGATGAACTGCATGAGAATTAGATCCCTGCTGAGCAGAAAGGCAGCTTTCTAAAATATCTGCATATCGGATGTGCCTGGTATAGGAGGCCTTGATTACTTGGGTCACATAAAATGCCTTAAAAGGATGACTCCCTTTCCCTAACAGGGCTGGGTGGCTGTTTGAGAGGGATGTTTCTGAACAGCAAGGGATGGATTCTCTCTCCAGCCTGACAGTTGCAGAGCAATTAACAACCCTCTCATGGAAAAGAGGCACCTTGGAGACGATACGGCAGAAGTTGCTCACAGAATATTTTGGTAATGTAAGAAGTAACAGCTGCCAACAGCCAAGCTCTCCTCTACCTTGCCAGTATCCCTTTCCTTCGCTCACTAAACAAGGAGGCAGTTCTGGGGCTGAGGGATAAGGAAAAGGGCTACACCCAAAAGAGCAACTGCCCAAGACACCACAGACGTCAACGGGGAAGAGTCTGGGCGGCTCCGAACAGGCTGGCAGAGACGACGCTACCAGTGCTGTTATTTGCTGGTAAAGAGCAGGTCTGCAGCTGGATGTTGACCCCTTTAGCCATGGCCAGCTCTGGCCGGGGAACTCACTTCTTTCGTGTAGTACTTCATGATCCCTTCCTCTGCTGACAGAATAAACCTCCTCTTCTGGAACTGCCTGCTGTCCCGGCCTCGCTTCCAGAGGAATCCTTCACGGCTGCCTGCAGACCGGGCCAAGACAAGTGTCAGAGAGATTCTAGTCTTTCTCCCCATTTGAAAAGTTTCACCTCAAAAATCAGTGGAAAGCTAGAGAACTGTAAGGTCCCGTGCGAGTTAAACGTTCCCTGCACTTGTGTAAAGTGCCTTCTTTGGGAGCTTCTCATGGTTACAAACCCAAAGCAGGGCCTGCATACCTAGCAGCTCAAATATTACAAGCCATCCTTAAACATCTTCCAAACTGCAAACAGAGCACTGTGGTGCTGGCCCTACAGTAACACCTTTTCTCCTACAACTTCAACTTTTACCTGCAGAACAAGGATCATGAAAGACCTGGGTGGCAACAAATTCCTCACGCTCATATTTAGCTCTAATCCATTGTTCTCTTAAAACCCTGAAAGAGGAAAACATGGATAAAACTGATTTGCCTCAAATCCATTTTTCGTGCACTCGGGATTTCAGGAATTCAGTAGCTCTGTAGTGCTGAATAAACCAGCAACTTACAAGCAGTCTTCGGACTGAGGGATGTAGTAGTAGGGAGGGACTTTTGCCTCATATTTAGCTTTGGCACGAAGATTCCCATGAGCTTTCATAAACTGAAATATAAAAGAAGTTTCCATTAGGTAGACGACTCCAAAGTCAAAACCACATCATTAACATAAAACAAAATTTGGATCAAAGGGAGCCCCACACTTTTTGCTCAGTCCTGTCACAGCTCTCTGCATATCTTTGTGTAAGTTCATAAACTTTTGGCACTTACAGCTTGCACTTTTTAGGTGGCTGACCCTTTTAATATCTGTTTATAGTTCTGAACTGGACAGACAGGATCACAAGACTGTGGCGGATGATTAAAAGAAGAGAAGGAGAAAACATATTTGTTTGTGATCTCCCTATATCACCTCCTTCTAGCCCTAAACTGCAGGACATATAAAGAACACAACCTGGGAGAGGGAGGAGAGGCTGAACCAATACTAAGAAGGGTGTTTTGCTTACTAAATAGCAGGTACCCTCCAGAAGTACCTGCAGGCTTCCAGACCACAACGTGCTGTTACCGTGTGCTACACGAAACACATTGCCGGCAGCAAGAGAAGCAACGAGCAAGTAGGCACCTAAATTCTCCCTACTCCCCATGGAGTTAACTTGCCCCTGGGCGGCTCTGCTCCTCTGCCCATGAGGGATGGCAGGTGAACTGGGAGACAGAGAAGATTATGCTGAAAGGTGGAAGAAAAAAGGCAAAATCTTGCTTTATCCTCCCATACCTCGATAAGATCATTCTCCCAGAAGTCAAGCCAGATGGATTTGACCCTGCTGATTTGGGGAAGATTGCGATGGATCCCGGAGCAATTCAGACAAACAAATATTCCAAGTTTATAGGAAGTCCACTCTGCATCTAGACACAAGCACAAAGAAAATGGTAACGTACGGGGAAGGGCACAGCTGCGGGCAAGGGCCCAAAGCGCACGGGATGCCCAGCGCGGGCTGCTCCGGCAAAGGCAGCCCCTGCGTTTCCATCTGCAGCTTCAGCGCACGCAGAAACCACACGCTCCTC